AATTATAAGTTATAAAATCAAAACTGTTCATATTATATTTTATCTTATTTATAACTATTAATCAAATAATTTTACAAAAATATTTATATAAATATTTTTATAGATATTTTTGCAAATATTTTTATAGATATTTTTGTAAATATTTTTTTATAGATATTTTGCTGATCTTTAAAATATTAATATTAATAATCATCATTTCAAATATCATTATTTTATCAAAAATTAAAAATGATCTTTCAATTTACTATTTTACTATATATATAATAATTATATTATATATAATTCAAAAATATAGATCTCAAATAAAAAGAAAATAAGATATAATATTTAAAAATAGAAATATAATAAAATAAATATCATAATGAAAATAAATATATGATATAAAAATAGAGATAATTATATAATAAATTATAAAATTATAGAAAAATAGAATTTTACATAACCAAGAAAAGATTATGAAATTAAGAAATTTTATATTACTATGATAACAATATATTTATAGAGATTAAAATATATAAAGCTTTTATAAGCTAAAATCAGAATAAGTTATATAATATATATATTTAGAAAAGATATACTTAGAAAGATTTAATTATATATATTTAGATAATATCTTGATATATAAATAAAATAAAAAATATATATTTAATATTTTTAAATTATATTTGATATTTTATATAAATCTAAATTATATATTAAGTAAAAGAAGTATAAATTAATTTAGTAATATATAGAATATCTCAGTTATTTTATATTAATAAATGATATTTTAGTTAATTAAAAAATTATAATAATTCCAAATTTGTTGAATAGCATCTCATAGTTGATCTTGATTATTGATTGGAATATCTAATTATTTCAGATGCCTATTTATTTCATTTCAGAGATATTCAATTGGCTTTAAATTGTAAAATTGAGATAACTATTTCATTATATTAATTTTATTATTATCAAATCTTTAAAATTGATTAGTATTTATTAATATTTTGTTTTCTAGGATTATCAAGCTATTATAAAAAATTTATCAAAGAATTTTCTGCTATTATATTATCTTTACCATAAAGATTAGAAATATAAATAAATAAAATAATCACAATAAGTCTTTCAACTTCTCAAATAATATTTGTTATGATCCAATTCTAAACTATTAATTATTATTACTAATATATTTATATTTTATAATTGAAATAGTATTAAGTTAAATCAAGACAAAAACTAACAACTAATAATATATGATTTAAGAAAATTATTACCAGCTGAGCAGAATTATCCAATAGATAAAAAAGAGTTGTTAGCAATTATATATATTATTAGACTCTGAAAGTCAAATTTAAAATTCACTGTAAATACTAATCATGCATCTTTAGAATACATTATTATTTTTTTTCTGATAGTTTATTAAATTTCTATCCGGAATATAGATAGAATTTAAATAAAAATTGATTAATCACTCATCTATATTATTATAACAATATATTCAACAAATGAAAGCTCAAATTAATAGTATCAAAATTCCAAATTAATGATATTCCTGTATCGTGAATGTATGAAATTCTGAACTATAACATTTTCAAATAATCAAATTTTTAAATGAACAAAATCCCGAATAACTAAATGCATTTAAAATGGAATATCAATCAATTATTGGAATGCTGATCAATCTATATTTGGCATCGCAGATTTTTTTTAGTATAGTACTAGTATTCCTCTTCTTATATAGTAACTTATTTAAATTATTTTGAGATTTCTTGAAGATACTATAGTAAGCATTATAAGTTGCGATTAATCGATTATAGTTTCCAGTTAGTTACATACACATATAATTTTGAATATCCTAGCTATGACAAAAAAATGGTATGAAACAATTTTATATTTTTTGACAAATAGCTTGTATCTCGAAATTTGTCTATGAAACTACTTTCTGTGTTCTAACAAAAATGTTCCTTGCGAAAATTTTGTTCTTTATTATTTGTTGTAAATATACTTTCTATTCTATTTACAATCATAATCGAAATGTTATTATCTTGCGATTTGATTGGTTTACCCAGTGACTGAAGTTGACTTGCGGACCGCAAACGATTTAAATTTCCGCAACTAAAATCTTATGCACATACGAAATCGGCATTGTAAATTTCACATGCATCTACACTTACATACGCAAACATATATTATCAGGTTGCTTGGTCCAAATTAAAAATTGAATTTTAGTCACTGGGTTTACCATTGAAATCACGTGATTTTATAGGATATTCGTAGCTTGCGTTTTGTGTCATTTAATCATTTCATACATGCAGTTATCGTCTCGTTTATTTTATTAAATATACATGTAAGAAACTGATTTAAAAACAATTTTATCTGTCTACAAATGTAGAAAATGATTTCGCATTATTGAAATTTAATGAAATGATGACGATAACTTTTCCTTCATATATAAACTGTAAATATACATGAAAGACATAGAAGGAGTAATTATTAAGATAATAAATATATAAGCGTTACAATTAGTTAACTTTGATAAATTTTCATTACCCAGGCCGGGAACATTATTAATTATCGTACGTAAGTCATGTTCTTTGTAGAGTTCTCAATCACGACATATTCATTACATCAAATAGACGTTTACCTATTGAAATCTCTGCAGCATCAATGTATGGCTTTCCAATTAGCACCTCTGGACTCACATAAGAAGGTACCGGTACTCTCCACAAATTTCGTAATTATATTTTTTTCATTATTTGTCAAGATGACAAAGTATTTGTCGAGACAAAGTCCAAAATCAATTTGTGCTAATAATATATTTCCAGGAGAAAAATGTCTTGGAATATGTCATACTGCATATATATATATGAAACAGTTCTTCATTATGGATGAACATATGTCAATACATGTAAGGAAAGACATGTACTATTTATGGCAAACAATTCTCCTTTGAAATGCAATTTGTGTGACAGAAAAATACATGTAGATTTTAACTTTGTTGGGGTTATGGGGGTTTATTAGTGTTCTCGTGAGAACAATAATATACATGTATTTCCTATAATCAACACAAACCTGAATGTAAGTACCCAGCTCACTATAGAGAATATTTCTTTTGTTCTTTTGTTGCTGTCTTGATAAAATATTACCATGTAAATGTCATTCTGCATAAAACTTTATTCAAAGCTAATAAAAAGAATTCTTTAAATATTTATATAATAAAATGATGGGTACTGTAATTCGCCGTGCGCAGTATTCTTTCAAATTGTTTTCTAACAACAATATAATTGTGATCACCGACGGGAACCCTAACAATCCAAATTGCATATATTTTACAAATCTCATTTCCAGAGATATATAATAACTACCAAATTTCATTGATAAAATGCCTTTCTTATATCACAAGATTGTTAAAAGGTCTTATTATAAGATAGTAGACTATTAATTGATGATTGTCAAGATAGTACAATGAAGTGATGATATGACGTACATGTACATACATGTATTAGTAAACTGGGTATCCAAAAAAATATACGTACATGTATATAGTTTCGGTCCATATATTTAATTTGGCGGCAGATTGAAAATGAAGGTTGAATTTTTTAAAACAAATTGGGCTTTTTTGGAGCTGAAATTCTGGAGATATTTAAACACCCTACCCATTTCGTATCAATAAACGAGAGCGAATTCAATCAATTTTAAATTATCTATCGTTCAAATTATTAATAATGATGCATGTACTTAAAATTACACTAACGACATTGCGAATTCTCAGTAAATTTTTCAGGTTTATTGGATAGAGCTGTTTGAAATATCATTAAATTTTTTTTACACTGACTTATCACTAAATTTACGTTTCGGAATCAACTATACTGTCATAAATATACAGCATGAGATAATTACAGTAATATTTGTTCATTAACATCTCGATACAGTAACGCTATCAATCTGTAACGATTTTTCTTCTATGATCCTATTATCCTCGATAGAATAAAAATTTAAATTTCGATCATTGTAGTCACTATATGTAATTCACCAGCTTGTCAGAAGTGAGATGCTTTACATGACTCGTAACGTCTTGAAATATACCAATAAGAAAAATAATTGTTATTTAATGAAAAATATAAAAAATCAAAAACTAAACACACTCCCAGGGATCACCAAAGCGTGACTACATGTATATTGATTCTTGATATGGTAAAGGCATCCGTATTGTTCTTTCAAATTTTTCCTTAAAATGTTCGATATTTGTAAGATCGATCTACATATACATGTAACAGCTCCGATGTACGCCGGAACGTGTGAGATCATGTGATTTGTAAAATCAACTTGTATAATAAATTAAATCGTAATCTCGAAATTAAACTTTTAAAGTATATTTTATTTTTCTGCATGATGCGCCACAAAATTAATTAAAGACAATAACAAAAAAAAGGGTTGTGAAGAACATTTTAATCTTTGGGGTATCCGCGAGGGTCTTTGTATATTAAATGGTGGAACATTATAGCTAAATTTATCAAATTTATTAGAGCCGGGTACAAATTACGTAGGGTATACTAATAAGAATAGAAATGATATAATAATTAAGAATAAAGGAAGACAATAAGAGATGCACTAAAAACAATTATACATCTAGAATAACATGCAGAATAAGTTTTGAGATCAAAGTACAAAGGCTCGGCCGTTATTTGATTTCTTTGTTTGAATATTACTCTTTCTGATATTAATAACTTGTCAATTTTGGATTCAATTGATAATTAACTGACTACATATAGTAATGTGTTTCATGCATTATCCCCATGCATTCATCCCAGAACTACGAAATATATTGGGGCTTCTCATTGTATTAGAAAATTTACACGAGGATATAAAAGTAGGATTTCTAGCATGTGTTAAATTTGATTACTAAATAATATAAATTCGTCTATAGATATAACTAACAAATTGTAAATTCGCAAGCACATATTTCTCCACAGGTGCCTTCTCTTGATATTTAATTTCCTACCAGGATTCAATTTGATAGAATGAACCAACCACCGCAACCTCCATTGCCGCCTCAACCTCCATTGCCGCCTCAACCGCAAATACAACTACAGCCTCCATTAGTACATGTCAACATGGTGCGATACATTATCGATGGTGCGGCTTTCAATGACCATACGACTATTACGCCAAATCAAAATGAAACATTGAACATATTATTCGAAGCTTATAGTAGATGATAGACTCAGGTTCTTTCTTCATTTCTTTCTGGCTCTAATTTATTTGTTTTTCATATATTTCATATATAATTATGTTGCATTCGGAATTCACGCACTTACTTTCATTCATTGTTGATTAAATTATACAAATACATGTATTTATTCTCATATTTATTTATTCCCTTTCGTCATACATGCTTTCGAATCAAATCTATTTAATAATTTGCTTTTAAACTACATGTAATAACAGCAATCTACCGTTACTCGTCACCCATTTTTGCAAGTCTCAATATTTAACCCCTATTATACATTTTATCTACAAGATCAGGTATATTTCATAATTTTTTATATTAGAGTTTTTCCCTGCTTTATAACAAATATTGAAAAATGTGAATTTGGTACAGTGGTCATCATAAAGATTAGGAATTTTTAAATTTGTATATCAATTATATGATAAAGAATGAATAGAATTTCGTGAAAATTTTCAAATATATGTTTTTTGATATGAAGAACAAAGTTACTTAAGACATATTGATATAATATCTTATTAAAAATATCATTAAATTATAAAAAAAATAAAACAACTATAAATGTAGTTAACTTTATATCTTTATTGATTATTTAAAGAAGATACGTCGTAATAATTTCGGGATTTTGTGTATTTTGGAATGCCATTATTTCGAGCTTTCGTTCATTAGGATGAAATATCACTTTGATTGAATGTAAAAATAAATATACGAACCCTTATTAATTGGAATTGTTTGACTTGTGTAAATTGGACTTGTTTTATTCGTAGGAATGCTTTTTTGCGATTTGACTTTCTAATTCAAGATACTCGTAAATTTCTTCATCTGATCTAGGAGGATATCAGTTCCATTGTCTGCTAACTGGTGGCGAATAAAAGTAACTAAAACCATGAAATTCCCAGCAATTGGTCTGTTTTCTGGAATAGGATCCCAACATTTTTCAATAATAAATTTGTACCATTCACTTTAGAAATGTTTACGTTTACCTCGTGTATAAACTCTCGAGTAATTTGAAATGACTTTATCACTTTTCTTTCTCCCATCGTTTAAATATATTTTCTTCATGATCCCGAAATCAAATGGTCCATCCAATCATTCAACGTTGATAAATCTTTCAAAAGAATCCATTCATTATAATTTGTTACATTCCTTTATTAGATTGTCGATATCTTTATCTCCGCTAGACTATTCAGTCATGCTTTTTCAATAATATCGCCTATAATCATGAATATTGTGAACTAAACACTCATCGCAGTATTCATTTTTTTTTAACAAACAACACGTTTATTACAATCATGAGTGTTCAGTTCCATCTTTTGAGTTCACTTTATAATTTACGAATTACACCAGTCGTAACTCTCCTATTCAAAAAAAATAGTCGTGAAAAATAATTGGTAGGACAATATTTTGCACACATCAGCAAAGAATGCAACTAAACACATGATACTGTAATTGTCTGATCGAGGCATAGAATCAATCATCTATCAAGCATATATCAAGCATTTATCAAATATTTTTAACGCGTTTGACGCATTCACATTTTAACTCTTCTTTTTTTTCAAAAAAAAAAAACGAAAACCATACCTTATCCCTTAAAAAAATGAAAATCATACTTATCCCATAAAAAAACGAAAATCACAAAACGCATATCCACCAATTTGTCTCAACAGAGCCGATATAGCAGCGCACACACAGCACATACACATTCACCATCCCGAATAGGTGTCATCCCTAAACTCAGCCTATGGTATGGGGCATAGGGTAACGAGCACTGGCTTCCGCCTTGCATTCCAACTGGTCTCGTCCATGTTAGAGTATGTAGGATGACAAAAGATGCACCGCTCTGGATTTGTGTAGCGCTTTTTCATCATCCTTCCAGAATTAATACTTCTATACAACAGTTTTCTATTACTTAAATAAGCAAATTTTTATAATAGTTTCGGATGAAAAAACGAATGAATGTTTCTGGTTAGAAATCGAGAATTCTCAAAAGTTAAAATTTAAAGCGAGTAAGGTAAGGAAATTAAATTGCAAGTGTTTCATTATAGAAATTTATTGTAAGAACATTTGTTTCTTATTAACAGAACAATTCGATCTAGATCAACTTCCCAGCTTTTAAGTGTGATATAATCTTATTTGTGTTCTAACAAAAAAGTTCCATGCGAAATTGTGCTGAACAAAATATGAATATTAATTGCATTTCGGTTAGGATTAGTATATTTACACAGCAATTTGATTGGTTTACCCCTTAAACATCACGTGTACCGTTCATTTTTCGCCGCCAACTGTACTTATCGAGAAGCATTCATATTAGACGCATTGATTATTATCAACACAATAAGATATTAGATACGTATCTCCTTATATCCTATATATATATAAGAGACTTTGTAGAAGAACATATAATAAACTCAGTTTGTGATTTATTTTTGCATACAAAATTGTTAGGAGTCGTTGGAGAGGCATGGTAGGTGATCCAATCCAATTTCAAGCGCCACAGACTATGTATGAAGTCGAGTCAACGGCTCATCCGCTTTACATGGTAACTTACTACATTAAACAAATAAATTGTAACATGAAAGGTAGTAATAACCCGAGTATGAGGAAGAGATGTCGATTGTGATCACCGTACCATTATCAAAATTAACGCATGACTATTTGGCGAGGATTTTTTTTCTCACCACTCATGTTGAATTATGCTTTTAAATTAATTTATTATTATCGTTCATGTTCCCTTTATGCTCTTTTATTAAACTGTGGATTTCCTTGTTTCTAGATATTATGCGGAGAATGTGATAACTATATCAAAAAGTAAAACTCATGTAATACTTCAGTAGAGAATTATTAAACTGAAGAAAAAACTGAGCGACGAATCTACAATTGAAAAAGAACTTTTGATTTGATGATTCCTGAAACCAACAAGAAGCTAGCGAGCCATCATAATGTTGGGTGTGAATAATTTTGACGTACATAAATCAGTTGACGTTAATACCTAAATCTCTAGTTTTTTTTGCAAGTCATTCGGCATATTGATTTCAAAAACACGTGACGAAATATTTTGATTTCTTAAAATAATCATTTTATTTGATTCTCTTTTCACCTATGTGGCAAAATATCGGGATTGTGCCATTAAAATAGATAAATGTGCGATAAAGGTCTATAAATCTTTCCTGTACCAATAATTATCGAAATATCACAAAAAAATGTCATTTGCAATAATACATATACATGTAGTATTCGTATAGGACAGGCATGGGATTTTAGCTAATCCAATTCAAAACCGCAAAAATTAATAAGACGTCGAAACTTTCTGCAACAACATGCATAATTAAATGGTTCATCTTACATCGATATCGTTACTGAAGCAACATTAGGATTAGTGAGTCCATAATTTCTTTTGTAATTATAAGATGCAAACAATATTACCATTATTTTTGGACACCAATTCGTAAGTCTATCTAATGCCTCTTGTTTAATTTTACTGTATATGCTATGCCTATCAGTTTTCGATAGTGTTTGATCTTTTAAATCCATGTTTCTTGAAATTCAAATACTTGTTACTCCTTTATTGACTGTTCTTAATATTGTCCAGAACCTACAAGTAGCGAACGACCTTCACTCTAAATAATTCATAATTCGACTTTGATTGTGTTGGCAGAAACCAAGTCTAATCTTTGACTTTGCGTATTGTAGTTTTTGGTAAGCTGTAACCATCTGGATTGGTGCTTTCAAAGTGCCTTTGGTAAAATGCGTTATTTTGTTATAGGTGATCAGAAACCTTGAGACCCGTCTATTGTAGACTCTTTTTGTTGCTGATTATTAGAAATCTCCTTGACACCTCAATCGAAACTAAATATTCACATTTGTAAAAGGTTGATTTGCGTACAAATCATCACAGGAAACCTTTAGAAGAATAACGAAACCCTTAATGGTAAATTACTCAGTCTTGCTCTTATTCTTACCTTGTTGCACTTGCCTTTTAAAATCCGTTAATTCCCTAAAAGTGTGCAATAACATGTATAGTTGCCGTCGCAACGAAAACTCCCGTGATTATGAACGATGCAAAATTTTAATCTTGTATCCCTGATGACGCTTCGCAAAATTCTTACGAAACTTTTTATTTTTTGATATCAATACTGCCTGCCCAATCATACGAATACGAATTGCTACAAAAATTCTTGTTTTGTGCGCCCAATAATGTGATTATCAGAAATTCTTACAATATTCGTATCGTACGCTATTCCCTTGATCCATAAAAATTCTTACAAAATTCACCTTTGTATCGTACATGATAATTTTACTTTACTTTATTAATATAATTACATTGATTTTGTCTCAAAGCATAACCATCCCCTTTTTTGCAAAAATTTCTACAAAAATTCATACTTTATACGTAGGAACCCGCGAATTTTGTAGCAACTTACGACCTTTAATTTAGATATTCGTTATAAAGAAACAATTTTATATAAAGTATAACTCTGAGAGATACAGTAAGTAAATGTGTAGTTTGAGGACAAATAAACTAAATAAAGGTTTTATTTTTAACTCTTAACTAACAGTGCTTCGGCTTTTATTTCATTTAAATCGTCATTTGTTTTATGCTTGACAAAATCAAGCTTTGACCATACAAAGTTGCTGACTACTTGATTATTTTGATTCTGATTATTTAAATTTGATTATTTTGTTGAAATCTATATTACCATTTTGGTATTTTTGTGATTTAGATTAAATATTTTATAGTAATTTGTAAGTTATATTCATGCTTTATCTTCGCTCTGAAACCCACTTTGCGTAAAATCATTCGGTCTAACCTCGTTAGTCATTTTAACTTTTGAATTACACATAATTCAACCTCGCACAATTTTTACAAAATTCTTACTTTGAAATATCAGCATTAATACTTCCTCCGATAATAAGAATGTCTTACAAAAATTCTTACTCCCAATATTTCGATTATCCTTACAAAATTCCGTATCGTACGTTATTTCTTTGATTCGTAGAAATGATTGCATTTTCTTACAAAATTCACATTTTGTATCGCACATAATAATTCTAATTCATTTTTTTCATTACATTCCTTTATCTCGAAATATGGCCACATCTTCTTTTGTAAATATTCTTACAAGGTTTATACTTTGACTGTAAACCTGTGAATTCTGTATTAAATTACGAACAGTGACCTACAGGGGGTATCAAAAGTATTGCACGGTCAAATTTAACTGATTTAATAAAATTATTAATATGGAACTGCCCATGTGATTCTTATACCATATTTGCCTATATATTACTTAAATGGATTATTGTTTATTGTTTTGATTTAATCTTTTACAGATTATAAAACGTGATTTAAAATTTTCTATCATTTTCAATTTTTTGCACAATGGATCTTGGTAAAGAATTAACTTCTGCATAAAAGGAAAGCATTATTACAGACAAAAAATTAGGTCACAATAATACAGAAGTTGCAAAAGTTATAGGATGTCATCAAATAACAATTACAAGATATCTTGCAGCTTATGAATCAGGAGAATCTTTCAAAAAATAATCAGGTTAACCATGCTTGATTGATAATTAAAAAAGGCAAAGACTGAAGGCTATGGTTCTCAAAAACAAGAAAACAAGACAAAAAATCTAGCAGAAATTACTAATATATATTCTGCTAAAATCAACAAAAAAATATCTGTATTAATAATTTATCAAGCATTCTTGTATTTCTTGAAAAAAATCTTTAATTTCAGCAACCAACAAATCCAAATGACTTGCTTGGGCAATAGAAAGAAGATACTGGACTTTAGAAGATTGAAAAAAGATAATTTGGTCTAGTAATGGGAGTCACAACTAGTTGCAACTTGTCATAATTCTCTGATTAACTGCCACAAGTCACAACTAGTTGAGAAGCCATCTTTAGTCTGATCAGATAAGTTTACATTTTTATAGTTTCAAAAATCTGGTTGAAAAAGAGTGTAGAGAAAGCCAAAAGAGGAATTTCATGAAGATTACATTGTATTAATAGTAAAATATTCTCTATAAAGAATGTTTTGAGCATGTTTTTTCTTTTTAAAATTAGAATCTATTATTCTACTTAAAGATTCAGTAACTATACAAAGAGATACTTTTTACTTATGCAGTTTTCATACTAAAAATATTTTCCTAGCAAACCAGAAAAAAAGTCATTTTTCAGAAAGATAATGTACCAATTCACACATCAAAGATTACATAAGAGTTTTTTCATTCTCAAAATATAGAGATGCTCTAATAGCCTGCTCAAAGTTCTGATTTCAATCTAATTAAGAATTTGTGAGCTGCAATTGAAGTAGAAATTCAAAAATACAATTCTCAATCTTCAAGTATTGGTGAACTTGAAAAGGTAATGAAAGATATTTGGAAAGTGATTCCAAAAAAAGTATATCATAACTTGATATAATCAATATCAAACAGAATTCAGGCTGTGATCACTGCTAATGGAGGACATACAAAATACTAAAGTTCTAATTCCAAATATAAAATAAAATTAATTGTTATCTTAATAAAATTTTTTTTTGTTGCTAAAATAAAAGCATGCAATACTTTTGATATCCTCTTATAGATAAAACCAAATTTTATATAAAAGAAAAATATAAATAAAATTTTTAACTTTTATTTATCTATGTCTCATTATAAAGTAATCAATAGCTTTATTTTCTTTGTGCTTAACAAAATTGAAGGCTTTACTGCTTTGGCTTTAGTGCATCACTTTTGATTCTTTTGATATTGATTTTATTACTTTAATATTCCTTTTTTTTAGTTTGATATTGATATTGTTATTTGATATTTAGATATTTGAATTTATTGTTTCAAAATTGCTTTACTATTTTGGTTTTTATTTTTGTTAATTTTTTATGAATTCTTATCATTGTTTTATATAATTTTTCATTTGTGTTGTAGATTTTATAATTGCATTAGTAAATTCAGCTTCTTGTTGTTTTGAACCTCAGCTATTGCCCTTGATTGCAATCTCCAGATCTTTTGTAAATCATTTAACCTTGTTGCATCTACAATGCTATTGATTGACGATTCTAGCAAAAGAACTTTGGCTTTCCTAGTAGAAGTCTGGCACTGGCGCTAGAAAATTCGATATCCTTTAATTTTCGCTGCTCCAACCATTTTTAATCGCTGCTTGTAATGTGAATATTTCACCATTTTAAGGAAAAATTATAATAATCATAATTAGATTTTAATATACAGTATTCTAGGTTTTAAATAAACTTCATTTAAAACATTTGATCGAATATTTATTTGTAGATACTCTCAGTTTATTCCTACTGTATTTTAAAAAATTTGTAAGCTAACGAAGAAAATTATTTTTGCAAAATTTGAAATACTTCATAATCATCCAACTTAAAATAACTCGTAGTAGGAGTCAACAGAGCGTGTTCATATGAAGATTTTTGACAATAGTGGCCATCATGTGGATTAAATAAACTTAAATCATGTCCACAACCAAAAGTTGGTCCATATGCTCTATTACAGTAAATACTAAGTCTTTTAACTTTAATTTTACTTATAAATCCGTCAGATTCATTCGAGTCAAATTGAAACAAAAAGCTATTTTCCGTCTCGTACCATCCATTGGTTGTCTTCCATTCCAATGGGTTATATCCACCAATTATTTTTTCCGAATCTTTAACCTTAATCGCAATTACTGTTGGACCCACGTTATCACAAAGTCGATGAAAATCAGCTGCAGTTAATCCATCTCGACTACCTCGTAACAATAGCCTTAAATCAAACGATTGAGTTAATTTCATATCTTGCGACTTTATCCATCCAATTATTTTATTAATTTGGTTTCGTACAAGTATTGTGGAGTAAACAGCATTATTATTATTTGAAATTCGAATAGGGTATTTGTTAGCTTGAAGATCTTCGCTTCCTGGAACCAAATAATGATGTAATAAATCCTTGTATAGCTTTGCTGATAAGAGTTCCGAATAAGGCATTACTTTATTGTAAAAGTCAATAGAATTGATGTGGAAAAACCGGATTAATGGTAAACATTGTTTAAGCGCAAATTTTAATTGCCTAAATTCGTTTTGTGTCCATTTCTCCACGGGGCTCGTAAAATCAACATTCTCAGAATTAATAGATTGAGCGGTTCCCCATTCAAGAATTTTCTCCCAAATTTGAATTTCTTGAAGATTCAAATCGTCCCATTTGAGCATAGAAACTAAAGTGTTTTCTTGAAGCTTTGCAAAATCATTTGATTGAAAAATAGCGGCTGGCTTTTGACATACAATATCTGTGCAAAATTTGTGAAGTTTTGTAAAAGAGTCATGTTCGAATACGACTTGATTGACCAAGGAGAAATTTTCAGTCATCGACTCGGTATGATGATCCAAAAGAAGTTTTTGAATGTATTCAAGTAATTCGTCAAGAATTAACTCATCCGCAGCAATCAATAAGTCTAAAAGTGTCGGCACTCCATGTTCTCTAAAGTCGATTTTGCCACAATACATATATCTAACTCATAATAAAATAAAATTTATTTACTGTATACATGTATCAAATACAAGTCATAATTTATTTACCTCAATAAGATTTCAAAAACACGCGACGAAATATTTGGTTTCTTAAAGATAATCATTTTATTTGGTTCTCGTTTCACCCACGTATCAGAAAGTGCGGCGGCAAAATATTGTGATTGCGACATTAAAATAGACGAATGTGCTGTAAAAGTCTGTAAATCTTTTCCATCACCAACAATGATCGAAATATCACAAAAATTGCCCTTCTCGTAAAATTTGGCCAACTTGTTTGAATGCGTAGTCAATAATAAATCGTTCGTCATTTTATTTGCGTTAGATATGTACTGTTCATGTACAAATTGTCAGAACCCACAGAAAGTATCGCCTGATTTATGTGTCTAACCATTTTTTAAAAATACTACGGCAAAAAAGAGTCGGATCATGTGATTTTTTAAGGGGTAAACCAATCAAATCGCAAGATAATAAATAAGATTAGAATTAGAATTGTAATTATATTCCACGTGATATTATAACAGTGTAACATTATAACATCACTATAAATACTATAAAGCAAGGGAGATACAAGCTATTTTACACATTAATCTTGCGGTTTTTCCCTTGTTTTATAAAATACATGTACCCTTTTATCTGTGTAACGAATAGACGAATAAAATTAGAATTGATGAATTTATAATACATTTTATCAAACGTAGATCAAATATTCGTATTCAAACGTTTCAATAAAAATAAGTGAATACATGTACATTAATGGTCGCCTGTCTTATACTGAAAATATCTCAAGAATGACCTAAAAATTTTTGATAAATTTAAGTTTAAGGTTCGTAGCTTCCATTTAAACCATCGAAAACGGATCGACCGTTCGCTTATATTCGAGAACGGTAGATATCTCAAAATGGCCGATTCGTTTTCAATAATCTTGGATTTAATAAATTTTAAGGTTTGTAGCATTCGTTTAAGCCCAAAATCATCAAAATTGGATCGATCGTTCTCGAAATATTGGCATTTTATGTCGAAGTACGCCGATACCTCAAGAACAGCTGATCCATTTCCAATGATTTTAGGCTTAAATGAATGCTACAAACCTGTAGAACCTATTTAAGCCCAAAATTGGCGAAAATGGATCTGCCATTTTCGAATTACAGAAAGATAAAAGCTATATGTTCGATTCTCATTATATTTGTACATTGTTACTCGTGTAGTTTCCTTTTCGTATGAGTTCGTATTCTCTTTTGTACTTTCTCTCGTATTTTCCTTTGTGAGTGATCGTAAATTTTCTCTTGTAATTTCTTCCTTGATTGATACTGTATTTTCTTTTGTAATTCGTGAAAATCGCTAATGAAGATAGCAAAAGAAAAAAAAGTATAAAAGGGAGTCTGTTTGACAAAGAGTTTTAGGCATAATTAATTAAACACCCACCTTCACTTGCTACTTATTTTTCCATTGATTAACTTCAAAGCTTGTCTTCTGTACAAGTAGTGAATGATTTTCACTAAAAACAAACCATATTTGTTTTTATATTGTTTTGTTGGCAGAGATTAAGTCCAACCTTTACATTTGAATACGTTAGTTTTTGATTAGCTGAAACCATATTTGAATTTTATTACCAGGCCGCGTCAATAAGCCCGTTGATTAATCTTTTGTTGTTGGTCATAAGAAACCTCCGTGAAATCTATGTTATTATAGGTCGATTTGCATACAAGTCATCACGGAAACCTTTAGAACGTTAAAGAACCCCATTAATGTAAATAATTATAGTTACGCCATTTTAAAGTAAAGCGTAACAATAATAATGAAATTAATTCAAATCTTTCTTCGTTTGTTTTATTTGATTTTTTCAACATGTTTTGAAATTTAGGGTTTGTTGAGAAATACAGTCTGCACGGGAAATTAATGGCGGTTAATTTTTTAAAATTCAGGCGCAAATTTTAAAAAAATTTACGTTTTCCTTTTGTGTCAATACAAGTTTGAATGAAACTTGAAAGATTAAAAAATCATAAGAGCTGTAAGGAATAATGTTATTTCAATTTTCTTTTTACAAATTAAATTTATAAACTAATAATGGGCAAAGACTCGTTGACTTATTAAGTTTTTGCGTAATCGCGAGTCAAATTAATGCTTTTCATGTCAAAATTCTGCCCAGACTATTGGCAGAAGATAAATATTAATTTGAAGTAAAGATTCGACTGGTATAAATTTCATTTGAATAGATTTGTTGTTTTTTATTTATATTCGTAGAAATGCTTTTTTGCAATTTCATTAATTTTGATTCCAAGTCAATTTTTCGTAGTTGGAATTTATGGAGATCCCCATTGTTTACATATTGAGAATTCATTCGTGGTTAGTTTTTGTTATTCCATAATAACCAAAAGAATGGCATTTAGAGCAGTCTGAATCTATTTTTAAAAATTTTGATTATAAAAAAATAAGAAACAAAAAGAGACTTTAGAAAATGTTCATTTTTACTTCGTGTATAACCCTGAGTAATTTGCTTTGAATTGTACAATGATTTTGAACACAACTTTTCTTTCTCCACGTCATTTACATTTATTTTCTTCATGAGCTAATGGTCCATCCAACCAGGTTGCTTTATAAATTGAACCAAAAAACGTCCCTTTGCAAGAATTTAACGTTGATGAATCTTTCAAAAGGAGTCCATTCGAATAATTGTTCCCATTTATTAATTATGTTGCATTCTTTTATTAGATTGTTGATATTTTTATCTCCGTTATAAATTCGTTTGTGATATGAGTCATTGCAGATCGATTTTTTTAACAAACGTAATATTTACTAAAATCATGAGTATCGTGAACTAAACCCCCATCGCAGCATCTATTCCCTTACTACAATCATGAGTATTTGATTCCTGCCTTGACTTCACTGGATAAAATGCATTGGTTGAAGGATAGTTAAAATAACGTTATTTCATGCATGCATGTACACTTACATGTATGTACATATAGCAATTTTTATTGTGTGTGCTAAACATGGATATGCAAAATGTATATGTGCAATATACATAATAATAACAGATTATTTGTTAACAACATTCTCAATAAAAAAAAGATAACATAAGCTTCTCCAAACCGGTTGAAAGGTGTTATATCAAAGAGAACAAATTTAATGAATTCTCAGATAGAGAAGTACATGTAATCGGAAAGGATCTATCCCAAAATCCCGACGCCTAAAATGTCAACACTCCGAATGTCCAAAATCCCGACGTCTAAAATCCCGAAAACCTAACATCCCGAACGCCCAAAATCTCGAATATCCAACATCCCAAATGCCCAAAATCCTCCCGCATGCTCAACATCCCGAATGCCCAAAATCCTCCCGCATGCTCAACATCCCGAATGCCCAAAATCCAGATAAAACACCTGTGAAATGTAAAGGATGAAATTTGTATTAATATACCCTTACTCTTTTCGGTCTGTGAAATTTAAGGTATTAGATATGTTAGTATTTTAGTTTTGGGCATTTAGATTTTGGACATTCAGGATTTTGAGTATTCAAGATGTTGGGCATTCGGAATTTTGAGTATTCGGGATGTTGGGCATTCGGGATGTTGGGCATTCGGGATGTTTACATTTCAGGATTTTGGACATCGGGATTTTGGGCATGGATTCGGGATTTTGGCATTCGAATTTTGGGCGGCATCCAACCGGAAATGGAACATTTTGTGAGTCGAGTTGAAAGATGAAGATTAACTTTTGCCTTAAAATTTCTTCATACAAAAAAATAAGACATATAATAAATAAACAGTTTATTAAAGAGATATCACTTTATTTGAGAGTTAAACATCTAGATTCAGTGCTTGCTACATTCTATAATTAAAATTTCTTATCAAGTTGCTAATAATAAAATCATTGACTTTTATGGAATTACTCAAGGTAAATATATTATTATCCTTTTAATTACACAATAAAAAATATTCTTTAGATCCGATCTCCGAGAAGCATATGCTTATTTTGAAACATGCAAATGATGGAACCCACAAAGAATATATTTAACAGTTCAAGTGGCAATGATAAATTGAGTTTGGCAAAACAACTCGCTAAAGAACTAAAGTATATACATAATGCAGGCATTATTCATCGAGATTTGGTGAGAAAGCTTATATATTTTTCTTATAGGTATTAAATTAATCTTTCAAACAACTAATTTGAATCATTTGTTAATTTCAAAGATTAATAATATATTCGTTCATAAGGAAAAGATCCAAATTTCAGGCCTAAGCTATTTAAAGCTTTCAAATGATCAATCTCACTCAAAAACCGAACAGGTCGTGATAAGTTATATTGATCCAGCATTTCTAAGAGATATGGAAATGTTAGACGAAATGAAAATTTAGATTATTTTGGGTTTTCTCCAGCGATTATACTCCTAATATGTCATACGGGTATGTTTTATACTCTTCGTCAGAAAAAGAAAAAAGAATTTGCGGAACGCCAGATAAAAATACGTTAACCTTTATTAAGCATGTTGGATGATATATCAACAAATCGGCCAGATATCTATGAGATAAACAAACAACTTAAAAAAAATAGGATGGTTCACTGCTTCGTCTCCTTTAGTTTCAGAAGAATTGAATATTATTCAAGTGACTAAGTGAAAGAAATGAATGTTGACATTAAGAAAGTTACAGTAAAAGGCAGTGATTTCGAAGAAGATAAAACATATATTAATTCAGAAATGATGACTATAAGCTGAACAAATCAAAGAATTTGCTTTTGGAACTATTAAAGCATTCGTCACTTTTGGTGAAATGCTGCTGATTGCAGCAGCCGCTTGTCAAGCAGCAAGTAGAATTATGATGCTCATTGTCATAAAGAAGTCTGTAAAGACTTATCGTTAAGAATTGAAAAGCGACAATAAGAATCCAAGAAAATCCACCAACTAAAGATGCGGGTCTTGCGATCCAAGTTTCATATCTACAATATATAATATCGCGTATATAAATGCACATGCCTACTGATATTCATTTTTTAATCAATTTACAGTCACTAGAATATCATGTTGATTTTTGTTTCACTATTAGATACGAACTTAGACTTTAAAGTTGCTGAAATAAATGATAAAATGAATGAAATCAGCTATAAAATCGATAAAATCAAAAATTCTGCTCAAATAGCAATGCTATTAAAAGGTGCTGATTTCAATAAAAGTGGCTTATTTATCAATTTTTTGAAGAAGATGGTGATACAGAAATCGGGGGGGGGGGGGGAATGAAAAATTAAAAAAAGCTATTAAATGGGATCTTTAAAATAGCCGTACGTAAACTGCAAACTTCGTCAAGTTGTAAGGCTACTGTCTTTGCTATAAAAAAATATTCCTATTGTTGGAGGATTCTAATAAGTGTAGTGGAGAAGTTTGAACATATTAAATAATATTAATATTTGTATTTTTTTAATGGTATATTTTTTATTTGTATTAATTCCGAATTATTTTAATCAATGGCAATTCCTTCAAATCTCCTTGCTAGAATAAGTGCAAATAATTATAATATACAGTCAGATCTCTCTATAATCACACCTCTTTATAGTCATATTTTCATAGTCATTCTTTTTGAGTTCCCAGTTATTAATTAAATATAATTAAAAAATTTCTTTATAGTCACACTCTCTACAGTCACCCAATTTTGCTTTCCCAAGTGCGGTGACTATAGAGAAATTTGACTGTATGATCTATATATAGAGAATTTAAAGTTTCAATTATTTAAGGATATGTTTATTATAGATTATTTTTTATTTGTTTATTATATTTTATGTTGATTAATAATAAGATTAATTTATAATATCTATAGCTCAATGTCTTCTTAAATACTTAGTTTATAGGATCCTTATTTATCAATATCTATTAAGATAATAGCGACTTCGATTTGGAATGTTCGTGGATGGTGTGAGCAAGTTCTTGTGATCGGAATCTTTACGCGATTTTACTTCATGACATAGAAATGATATGAATGAACATCCAATAAGAAGTTATACACGTGATATTTCCAACACTGAAAATGAGACTAACACTAATATATGCTTTTCAATGAGTTTTATTATTTGATAAAGAATACTGTATATTTTTTTGTTTTTCCATATAAGGATACAGCGTTTATGTAATTCAAATTATTTAATAATATTTGATGTGATTAAACTTGGCGTACCATATACGCTATAATATAGATTTCTGTCATTAATGAAACGAGAGTTGCATACATGGCTACGGCAGATGGTTATGTAAACCATAAAGGGAGTATAAATTAAAAACGTGCGAACTCTTTTAGAGAAAGGACAACCACTTAGTTAGAATTTGTTCAAAAAAAACACAAAATTCAAACTCCTCTTTGATGAATTCAACAAAAATAACTGGGAAAAGATTTTATACTAATCTTCGCTTTTTACACAACAAGCCGTAGAAGAAGTGAGTAAATGCAAGATTATGATCATGAAATGCATTGAAATTTATTCTAATACTTTTGCTCGGATAACAGAAAACACTTAATCATTATAGAGTACTTGGGGCTTGGAGATGTGCAGAAAAAATTGGACGAAAGCACATACTTGGATTTCTCTTCAAAAATATTGTACATCGTTAACTCTAAAGAATCAAAAAAGGATGATTACACGTATAATGTAAATATCATCTCTAATTTCGAACCTTTAAAGATAATATCGATATGTATTAATGGAACAAATTAACGCTCTGCAAAATGTAAAAAGTTAACCAAATCTGGATATATCGATAAATGTATTCCATTTTTTGATAAATATACGTTCATCTCATTTTGCAGATACGTACATTATTTATCCGCGTTATAGTCCGTCACGGAATGGAAAAATTACTGATATTATAAGAATTTACGTCTAATTTTTATTAAAAATGGATGGATGCGAAAAAATTATTAAATTTAATATAAAAAGGTTAATATTTCCTTGAGATAAATCAAAATAATCATGCGTGATAATAATACTTAATCATCATTATGTGCCACTTAAAATAGTTGGCGCAATGCTTGGTGAAAAGAGAATCAAGTTATCACAATTGATATAGTGATAAACGAGTACAAATAATAAATACAGTTATTGTGAGCGAATAAAAATATCTTGGCATCCAAAAAAGTCTAATAAAGTAACTAACTATGTGATTTGATGGAAAGAATGTTCATGATATTGAATGTTAGAAACTTTTTTTAACTATTTACTTTGACTTTTTATTGTGAGAGCATCATTTGGTCCTTTGTTTTACTAACATTTGCACGCTTTGAGCATATGAAAGTCATTGAAGAACTTATCTATATCAAATATTAAATATTTTCTTTCTTTGTCAAATCTGCTGCGTATAACTTTTTATTCGCGCATTTACTGTCACCTAATAATCAATAATTATACACGTAATTAATTTCTACTTGATAATCTTGCTAAGTAAATTTTTTTAAATAGTTACGCAGCATTAAATGTAACATTAATTTATTTCAATTGCATAAATCCTTGATTCAATATCCATGTACATGTAAAATTGTATTTGATGTGCATTTAAAATATACAAACCGATTACATGTACATATATGCATGTATCACGTAATTACATGCAGTTGGCAAAAAATGGTTTACAATGCACCTTCTAATTAGAAAGAGTTTAATGCGCAAGAAGTTCTCTATTGTGAATTCGACAGTTTCAGTTCGATGTTAAAAAATTCGGCGAACGAATTTAATTCAGAAAGTACCCTTGTTTTCTAGAAAAATCATACATTGATGGATGGAATATTAAGAGAATTCGTTATCGCTGTATAAAGTAAGTAACAAAAGCAAATTATTAATTTAACAAATATATCTAATAAAAATTGGCACAAAATAAATTCAGTAAAAACTGCATACTGAATATAAATAAAGGTTCAGAACAGATTGTGCGAATCGCGTGTAACTGTCTTTGAATATCAAATTAATTACTATATATGCAATATCGATCATTTGTGTTGAATATAGGAGTAAATTTGAAGTCAAAAAATAAAGACCACAGAGTCTCTGTCAAAAAATAACTTAATGAAAAAAATAATAGCCTCAGTAAATAATAACGACATGCTGTACTGTATGCTGTAAAATTTATATTGTAAATGCATATTGTACGTCCCATTTTACGTATGCTTGCATAATATTTACATGGGTTATTTATTTGAAACTAATTGTTATTCATAAAAAAGCGTTGGACAGCATCAATATCGAATTAAAAATGGTTTCAGTTTGAGACTAACTTCATTCTTAAATTTTATTGCCAACTTCAAATACGCCAAGAAAAAAGAATTCCGGAAAGGGATTGTTCTTTGGACGTGTGTGATGCATTAGATCCCTATCAAAAATGAAGTTCCAAAAAAGGAAAAATGTATATATGAAATATAGATATAAGCAGATGAATCAGATGACTTCTAAAAGAGGGAATATGTAATGTGCTTTAATGGAACCCTCCGGCACGAAATATACCTAGTGACTTTCGATATATCGTAGGTTTGGATAAGTAGAGAAAAATCCGCTTTATCATGAGCTTATTAATAAATCCATTATCTCTATCTGTTATATCGAAATTTTAATTAGTCTCCGCTATATCAAAAAAGCCCATTTATATCGAGAGTCACGATTTTAATATCGTTACATTTTTGTGAAGACCCATGTTCCTTATAAAGCGCGATTTTTTGCTTAATGTTCGTTATGTCGAGAGTATTTTTATATCCGCATGTGTTAGATATGTTTATGGAAGATGAAATAATTTATTTTTGATTAGCGAGTAATAAATGCACCAAAATTTATGACTTTGTCTAAAGTTATGTTTTCACTGAACTTCTTTTACTGAATTTTAATATGCTAAGTGAGCTTTCACACCAGTTCATAAGTCAATATTGGACTGTCCTTGAATTTCACTTTAATTTTTGTTAATTGACCAACCGATGTCCTTATCATTTTTATATATAAAAATTTAGGAAAATTGTGCAACGTTTAAAATATGTATAAATTGACAATCTAAAAACAACAATGAAAATTACGAGTCGGGGTTTCTTTTCCGTTAATATTTTTTTTTAGTATCCTCATAAAAAATACGAAATCGTAATTAGAAATATAATAGTAATAATAATAATATTTATTATTATTATTATTATTATTATTATTATTATTATAGCCCACCGAATAGAATAACAATATGGAGAAAAAATTATTAGAAATGAAATCTGATTCACATTTTCTTTATCCTTTAAATATTAATATTGCACGTTCTTTGATCGAATTCCCAGCAACCACAAATAGAAACACATCGATACACTCTTTGACCGAATCATTCAAACGTAATTCTATTAATGATGATGATGATGATGATGATGTCGTCGTCGTCGATTCATCTTTGAAAAACATCAAAAAAGATAATGTCAGCTTAATAAACTCGGAAACCATAATAAATTCAATGGAAAAAAAAAATGAGTCATTGATTTCATTCCCTCCTCAATTAAAAATCCAATATTTATCTTCGACACCGCCACTTTCACAACGAATTTTACTCAATAACAATTTATTAAAAACGACGACTATCTCTGTTACAAATGATAAGAATAATAATAATGATGATAATAATAATAATGGCCATAATCATAAGCGTGAAGCGTCACTAAATGAATTTCCAAACGAAATATTATCACTAATTATCCGTTTTTTAAGTGACATTAATACGCCACAGCAACTATGGTCATTACGTCGAGTTAATCGTCGGTGGAGATACAACATTCATCAAGTCATCTACGAAAATGTTAAATATCGATTCTCGCATTTACCAAACACTCTTCAACTCTTTATCTGTCAAATAAACGCACGTGCTATAACATATTCGGATCCGATTCGTGTTCATGTGACAGGATTGAATGAAGAGACTGGTGAGATAGTGCTCAATTGTCAACGTCATCGACATTCCTTACGTATTAGCAAAAAAACCAAACTCTTCTTAGTGGTAAGAAAAAAAAATTATATGAATAACAACGGCAATAATAAAAACAGTAATGATGACGTCGACAAAAATCACGGTATCAACTCGTCTGCGGGAGAAAATGTAAAGTTTCGAACTGAGCAACGTAAAGAAGTGCTACGCGATGGCAAACATTCGATACTTGTAGAAAATTCCTTCAAGATTGAATATGAACTTGTGCGAAACGGTGACGCAATAAGGACAAAAGATTTCGTTGAGAAGTGTCTTTCGGTTTTATCGTTTGTTGTGTCACCGATGTTGGTTTTGGAAACGCTAAAGTAAATATTCATAAATTCAATTTATATTCTTTTCTACGAGTTCGAACACAAACCAATGGTCTGGAATTAATGGGATGAAGGTTGCTCCTAATAAAGGAAATAGAATTTGCCGGTATATTTTTTTTTTGATTTATTTATCTTTTCTTTAACGACGACGTGGTCGTTCAATAAATTATCTAATTTTTAAAAATTAAAAAATCGTAAATAAAAATTTAAAAATTTAAAAACCAAAAAAAATTCTTTCTAAGAGATCATTCTTCTTTTAGACTTACGTTTTTTTCTTCTCAATTTCCTCTAAAAGAAGAAATATTAAATATTTCAAAATTTATTAATTATAGCTTTTTTAAATATGTTTTAAAAAGTATCAAAATTCAAAAAATAAGGATTGTTTATTTTACCTATATTTGTTCGAAATTTCCAATAAAAAGACACATTGATTATTGCCCTTTTGCAACGTCATTAAGATAATTATTGGTGGTTTGGTTGAAAGAATGAATAGCTGTGTGCCGTGCATTGAGATAATATAAGTTTGGTCGGTAGATTTGAATGAATGAATGAATAGCAATGTGCTTCTTTAGCATGTTGTTAGTTATTAAGAGTTTGTATGAATTGACGAATTCCTTAGAATACGACATGACTATTGACTGAATCGATCTTTTTAAATGTTGCATAATAAATTGGCGACTTAAATGAGTGAAGCATCCCCTTGATGAGTAAAGTTTTTTACAATAAGAAATTTGTTAACCAAATTATTGAGGTAGTTTTTTTAAAAGAATGGTTGAATCGTAGTTTTTTAAAGAATGTATTTATTAACGGAATCGATCCATTAGTTTTTCAAAAGAATGTTATTATTATTTTTGATAGAATATTCAATATCATGTTCTTCAAAATGCTAAAGAAAATAATAATTTTGAATTAATTGAAAGAATCTCGACAGTTATAATGCAGTACATTAGGAAAAACAACCAAAAGGATCGTTCTTACTTGTCATATCAATCATTATTATCGAATATTTCTACTTTATTAGCTACCAATTTAATTTCCTACATGCTTCCCTTCTAAAAAATTCAGCTTGAGCAGAGCTGTGATTTTATATATTTTTTTTTCTCATTTATTTCTGTTTCTTTTCTACCGACAATATAGCAAAAAATATACAATATATAATGTTAATAATATAATAAAGCTTATTCTCTCCGAGGTCCCGCATAAAGGCATTCACATCTTTTCCAGATTTTCCATCAAAGAGATCATCTTTTAGTGCAGTCACTCACTTCACATTCATTGATTTAATCACTTCATAATTCGATCTGTTATTAATCTAAACTCAATTATTGCATAAATGAGTGAAAAATAGTTGAAACTCCTCTTTACCAAAATGCATATTTCTTAAAATACAATAAAATATGAACAAAAATAGCAAATACTAAAGATAATCTGGCCTGGGAAATGCGAATCCGATAACTAATGAAATAATACACAAAAGATATTCGGCTTTAACGATATGCTTATGGGACTCAAGTGTCGTTTATACTCCGCAGTTATAATAAAAAGCAATCTTGTATTGGAAGAGATTCAGCATTTTACTAAAAGCTTGATTATCAATCAATCAAAATTTCCTTTCTTCATCATTGAATGAGTGTTAATATACCACGTCATCAAAAAAAATACGAAATGATAACAGGAAATTCAAGTATTGGCACCTGTGATCAGAAAAATCAAATATGGAGAAAGGACAAACAGTAAATAATAATTATTAAGATTTAAAAAATATGTATTTCTTTATACAAAATAGGTTTATTCATTTTAATATAATATTTTAATGCCTATTTTTGTAGAAAGTATAATGCAGGGAATTCTTTTTTTGTACATTTTTATTGTTTAAAATTTGATTCCAATTAAACAAGCTTGTTTCAAAGGGGAGAAAATACTACATGTACTTGTAATATGTATTACCAATTCAGACAATGGGAGATGAACAAATGATCTCTCGATTACGTAAGGTCACGTTTCCCGGTGGGGTACATGAAATGATGGAAAATGACATCATTGATCCATTTATATTTACATATACGTATCTACATTTATATGTAAGTGCATGTATACGATACGTATAGCTTTGTCCAAAAACATGTACATTTATACGTGTCATTTCTTAAAATAAAATCCGATGATTTTCTTTTACTAAATGAAAAACAATTATTAACCATAATTATCATAATAAAAATCTTAGTAGACAACCTGTAGAATATTATGCTCGTACAAATCAATCTTATATTGATTATGTAATCATTAAATATAGTTTTCTTAATATTTCTTGTTCTAAGGATTTTTCTATTACATATCTATACACAGATAAAAAGCTACGAATCTACGAAAACAGGCTTAAATATCCGAACCTCAAATCTTTATTTAATTCAAAATACTTTGCTTCAAGATTTCTATTTTAACATGAAATTTGACAATAAATCAAACGATTAAGGACACATGTTTTAAAATTAATTTTCTTTTATGTATATTTAATTTTCAAGCTAATGTAAGATAGATTTATTTTTGGAATTACATAAAATAACAAAACTGAACTAAAAAACCTCACCAACCTCATATCTATACATTTCAACTTCCGATATTTTGACTTTATCAAAAGATTGTTCACAAACAATCAAATTTTTCAAAATAGGTTCAGACCGGTCGATTCTTATATTATGGAATAACTAATAATTCAGCTACAAGCAAATATTCAATATTTAAATTTTAGTTTCAATTTTAATAAAAAAACATATATTATATTCTATGATATCCATTTCCAGATAATCAATAATATAATGCATCACATCTAAATGTATAATCGCAACAATTGCATATTTCAAAGTTAGTAAATTCAAAATCTCTAATTATAAATTACAATTTTTTAATTTAAATAAAATTATTTCTCTATTTAATTATCTCTTATATACCGCATATGACCGAAAATAAGAACCATCCTTCAAAGATCGAAATTGGAAGTTTCTTATTTTCGGAACTTTTCAATTAGGTATTTCGATTTTAATTAAAAAGCATGGAACATGACATCAAAAGATAATGATAAGAAAATTTATAAATCTAATAAATTGTATATGCAAAAAATTAAAGGTTCCGTATTTATGGTACTTTTGATTTTATGGCTTTTAGATTAAAAAGAGGAGAGTTTCTTATTTTCGGGGTTCTTATTTTCGGTTATATACGATAAACAATTGGATCCTTTTTGCTGGTAATGGATACTTTATATAATAACAAATTCCAAAAAATGAATAATTTATTTCTTGAAATTAGAAAGAATTTATTCAATATTAAAAAATATTATTTTTCTGAATCTTTATTATAAAATATAAATTGATAAACGGAATAAGAATCTGCCTTTAGTCATTAATTAAAGTTGTTTAGCTAATTTGATTAGTTATTTTCAAAGTATTATCTAAAAATATTGTATATAACTTGAAATATAAATAAATATATAAATAAAAGTTTATTTACTGAATTTTAAAAACAAAATTATTGAATTAATATTAATAAAAATAATATTAATATTTATAAATATAAAGCATTAATTATATATATGATCCAGTGCAAAAAGATTAGTTCCTCAGATAAATATTAATAGATTATTTTTTCAAAATAAAAATTAATTCTATCTTATTTAATTAAGTTATTAAATATTCAAATTTATTTAAATATAAAAATTTTTATTAAATATCTTTTATAAAAAAATTTTACTAATAACTTTTTAAATTATTATTCTTAAATTTTAATATATAAATTTTAATTAAAATTAATATAAATTATATAGTAAATAATTTAATTATTAAATTTTGAATTTTAATTTTTTTACAACTATTAATTCAACTTTATAAAATTTAGAATATATATTTATCAAATTTAAATAATTTTTTATATAAATTAAAGATTTTTTATTATAAATTAATAGTAATAATATTTAAAATATCTTTTTTTTAAAAAAATTATTTTATTTAGTATTTTAAATAAGTATTGCTTTATTTATTATTAAATTAAAGTATAATAAAATAATTAAAATAATATAAAAAGTTAATCTAAATTATTTTTTATTTAATATAAAAAAATTATAAAAATTAATTAAATTTAAATAATTTTATTAGAAATAATTATTAATTTTTAATTTAAAATTTGTATTTTTTTTATATTAAATTATAATAAAAAAATATATTTTAAAATAATAATTTTTTAATTTACTTAAATATTAAATCTGATATTTTAAATAAATATATTATAATTTTAAAAAAACTTATTTATAAATATTCTAAAATATTAGTATAAATTTTTATAAATTTTAAATAATAATTAAAATATAAGTAAAATATTTATTATTATTATTACTTTACTATAAATTATATTATTTTATTAAATAAATTTCAATTTAAAAACTAATATATATTAATTCTATAATCTTAAATAATTAATATTATATTATATAAATAATATTATTTTAAAATAATCAAAAATATAATTATAATTTTTGAATTATTATTTATTAAAAAAATAATTTATATAAAAACTATATTAAAAAATTAATTTTATTAGTAAAAATAAAAATATTTACTTTATATTAAAATTTATAATTTTATTAAAAAATAATTTTTATTTTATATCAAAATAAAATTTATAAATTATAAATTAATATATATTTTTTTAGATTTTTATAATTATAATATTATTATAAAAATTTTTTAATTAAATATTTTTAATTATAAAAAATTTTATAATAATTTTATAATTTTTTCAGAAAAAATTTGTAAACTTTGAAAAAATATATATTAAATTATAAATTTTATTTTGATATAAAATAAATATTAATTCTTAATTTTTAATATAATATTTATAAAAAATATTATATAATAATAATCAAAAGTAATGATTGAGAAGCTAAATTTACTAATAAAATATAATGAAAATTGAAATTTTCTCTCTATATAAAAATTTATAATTTTAATA